GCGGTGCCATCAAAGCTCCACCTGCACTGCCGTGCCCGCCATCTTGACTTTTTTGACCACACTGAACAGATACCCCTATTGACCATGCTGAACTTTTGACCACGAAACTGAACTATCTGGGGCGCCACGTTGGGGAAGCCTGCTTCGAAGTAAGCGGAATGCAGCACTTCCTTGGCCCAGTGGGGGGGGCGCAGTTGGGAGTCTCCTGTTTCCCCCCCCCCCCCCCAGAACCAGTGCAGTGGTTCCACCCTGCCTGCTGATTGGCTGTCTTTGGCGAGAGAGCCATCTGTTGGACGATCCCATAGCCTACAGCCCTGTACCAAGTGGGGCTGGACTAGATGCCCTCAGAGATCCCTTCAGTTCTGGGATCCTGCAAATTCTGCCCTTCTCGGGTGCCAAAGGCTCTTCCAGCCCAGCCTGCCTTGCTCAGCAGTGCCCGTTCCTCGGCAGAGTCCCCCAGCAGTGGGGAGGGATGTGGGGGGCCAGCCTTTGACATTTTTCTATGAGCATTGACGGTTCGATTATCCCCCTTTTTTTAAGCTGCTCTGGTCCCCTCCTGCAGTTTTTGCTCACAACAGCCCTGCGAGGTAGCTAAGGCTGAGAAAAAGGGTGCTCAGCCCACAATCTCCCCATAAATGTGTGCGAACTTGAATCGAAGTCTTCCGAGGGCTGCAAAGCTAGATATTTTTCCGTTTATTTTGCACCGTCCCACTGAAAGGGCGGCCAGTGGCGGAGGGGGGGTGAAGAACAGGGTGTCCGGAGTTCATCTTGGCTCGCTTCCATGGCTTAACATGTTGGGCGACCCGGCCTGTCGGTTGAGCATGTGTTACACACGCTGCTCCCGGGTTCGGCTTATGGCCACTCACTCACACGCTCACAGCCGGCTGACGCACGCGGATCTTGCCAGCCCCCCTTGCTTTCTACCTGGGTTTTCCAGAGAGGTGCGGCTGGAGCAGACAGACACGCAGCCCTGGTCAACAGCCGGGAAATAATTGGGGATACACACAAATCACTCCCAACTGAACACTGAGGCACAAGCGGTTCTTTGTAATACACGGAGACCCAGTGAATTTAAAGTAACAGCAAAACTCTACTGGTTGCTCTTTCTCATACACACTCATCCACGGTTACCCACGTCCTTCCCAACTAGGCTGCCAGGCACTAGCCAGAGGGACGAAGCCGCCAAGTCTGGATCCAAAGATGACTCAGAGCGGGCAGGCTTTGGGACCCCTTTTATCCCAGAAGTCCTTGCTGGGTTGATTTACAAGTGATGGGATGGGGTGGGGGTTTCCATGTGCTCAGGCCCCACTTCTTTTGTCTGGCCCAGGTCCTTTGTTTCCTTAACGACTTGCTTCCTTCTTATCTGCCTCCCGAAGGGACCTCCTAGACCAGATCCCTGGCTTTTGTCCTCTCTGCTTAAAGCAGCGCCTGCTTCACCTTTTGGTTATGCCAGCTTCTGCCTAGCCTCACACGTGTAATTTCCTTGTGCAAATTGAACGCCGAAGCCTCGATTCAGGCAGGAAGGCGTAAATAAAAGCCACGGGGCACGGCTGCAAACGTGACTGAGTCAATGCCTGTGTGGGTCCTGCTTCCGTGGGCATGTTGCTGGTGCGTTTCTTCTGGCTCTGCCCCGTCTATGCCCCTTTGGGGCTCCCTGAAATCCTCTCCTGGGGGCTGACCGGGGAATCCCCTCTCCCCCTGCAGGTGCTCAGGCCCTGATGTCCGCCCACGACTTCTTATCCTGGATTAAGCAAGAGGAGGAGCCCTGTGTCCGGGAGCAGTGGGACTCGGCGGAAAGGGAGACCCTCCCGGTGCCCGGTGGCCCAGGTGAGCAGTCGGCTGACGTCTCCATCTTCCTTTCTCTGACGCTGTCGGCTAGACCAGGCAGGGAAGTTTTAAGAAAACGAGGCGGGGTCCCGCTCAAGCTGGAACGCCAGTTTGGTGTAGGGGTGAAGGTGTTGGTCTGGAAACCGGGAAGCGGTGGCGAGTTCAAATTCTCCCTTCAGCACGAAAGCCAGCTGGGTGACTTTGGGGCAGTCCTCCTCTCTCAGCCCGACCCACCTCACAAGGTGGTTGTGGTGGGGAGGGGGCACTAGGCTTGCCACAGCTTAAACTCCTGTACGTAAAAAGTGTGATACAGATCCAATAAATAAATCAATAAATGGAAGCAGTGGTTCTTAAAGCGTGGCCGGAGGTCCCCTGGGGTCCCCAAGACCCTTTCAGGGCTTCCGCAAAGTCAAATAAGTAAATATTTTAACCTTTCTCCATTTTAATTTCCAAAACAGTAAATATCGATCGAGATAACCAAAGCTCTTTGGGGTCCTGAGACCAAAATGTTTGTGAACTGCTGAACTAGAGGAAGGGCCTCCTCCGTGGTGGCCCCGCATTTTAGGATCCTCCCTTCCTTAAACGCTCCCTGAGAACAAACCAAGTTGCTTAAAAGACCCTCTGCCCACCAACTGGGATGGCAGTTAATGGAATTCCCACCCAGCGTGGTTCGGACGTGGGTTTCACCCTTTTTATCTGTGGTTTTGAAGGACTGCCTGTTTTGAACATAGAGACGAGGCACCCTACAGTTCAGTGGAACGCCTGGCGACTTGATCGGCAGGGTTTACTGGTTAAAATTAATTTAACAATTAAAGGGGGAGAGCCGTCTACATTGGTCAAAAATGGAGTCTTTAGCACCTTTTCCAACTCCCCGATTTTGTTGCAAAGCACAAGCTTTCGTGAGCTGCAGCTCACGAAAGCTTGTGCTTTGC